TAATTTTTGGTATAGTAGTTGTGACTTATTCACACTATATACATTTGGCTTCCGCAACAATTTATGCTTGCCAAGACAGATATTGTACAACTGTTTAAGCAAAAACCAAACTCCTCATCATAACACAGCCCAAAGAAAGAAGATAGATAAATGTAAACGTATACTGTACAAGCTGCAAGAACAACGCACACTGAGTTCCAGAAAAGGGAATATAGCAATGTAATGTATGCTTAGGATTAGAAACCAAGCAACTCCACAGCCCTGTCAGAGAGGCTCCATAAAGCTGGTGCAAATACAGGAGTGATCCTTGGTAACGTGGGATATGTTAGCGTTCCAAGTAAAAACCAGTTAAAACTCAAGAGAGCAACTGCATCAGATGCGGGTCTGTTCTTGATGGTTGAGAAAAACTGGACAACACTCCATAAGGACATGCCAACGACAGTAAATAGCGCGAGGACAAGAGGCATGCATGCATCTTCATCTTTCCATACGATCGTTCCAACTAAAAGTGACAGTATTGCACTAAAAAGGGTCTGTGTAAAGGCTAGCTCCCTTCGTTGTTGTAACACATTACTTGTGGCAACATCGTCGGAGGTGGTTGGAATACATGGCTTGACATATCGACAGGATCTAGCTCCCATAAAATCATGGTTTAATGTAGTTTCACTTTTGCTTTTATCTTCCAGAACATCCTCTTGCATTCTTTCGTGGTCAATGGTCATACTCTCGATGCCACTTGATCTCCAAGATGGAATTCCGTCGCCATGCAATATTTGGCCATTGCCTATATAAACACGGTCTCTGTGGTCCCAAAGTGCTTTACCATGACTTTCTTTCAACCGTTCATTTTGCGCCTTCAGATCCTGAAGCTATCACATCAAATACAAAATTCAGTCTTTCCTGTCTCAAAAGTTGCATCATCAAGAGCAGACGAAAAATTGGAACTCAGAGGACCATTACAACAGATTTCGAAGCTACAAATTTTCAGTGATCAATCTACCTCAATGTCTCTCTTAATAAGTCCAACATTTCTCAAGTAGCAAGAAATAAAGATCTGAACATAAAAAGGTCATTCAAAACCAAAAGTGTGACATCCACCCATCACCCAAAGAATTGCAGGGTAAACAGCACTTAAGGAACGAATCCCAACTCATCCACATTAATGGGATGGACATCCAGCAGCTACCCCAAGCTCAGTTGCATTGATTCAATAATTAACAGAAAGAAGTAACTTGTGAGTGCTGACAATACATTAAAAGTTTAATAGTGTAATTAAAAGCTGCACTATCATGCTTTCGATCAAATGCACGAGGAAAATCAGCAAATAGTGGTAGATGAGCAGTTAAAGCTGCGTCCCTGCCTTTATTGACTTCCCTTACTATTAACTTTAGTCAACTTGGGTTGGGGTCCTAAACACTTCCAAGGGCAATTGAATAGCTGTAAGATTTAAATACCCCATTCATTAGTTGATACGTAATTTTTCTAGGTTAATTTGGTATAATGAAATTCATAAGAAATGGATGAGAAATCAACGTCAAGGACACAGCTACGCAAACAGGAAGGTTTGGTGAAGAATAATCAAGTAAAATGCTATTTAGGACTTTTCAGACGCAATACGATGTGAAGTGAAAAAGCAAGAACAAGAAGGGAAATATGAGTCGTTGAAGCATGTAGTTGTGGCTTTTGGTTAGGTTCTAGTTTTTTGAATATATTGCTGATAGTATTTTGTAATAAATGCACAAGGTAGCCGATCGATGAGTCTGAAAGTTTCTTCTAATATTCCGCATCCTATTTTGCGCTCTTACTTGCCCTAGAAGTCTAGATATGGAAGGCCCTTTTTAAATCAAAACAATCTTTTATGGTTTTGTAAAGAAATAAATAGGCTGGGTATGTCGTAAAACATAAGAGGATAAGGTGCAAATCAGAAAAAGGTGTATACATCAAGGGTGCAAAACACAAAGAACTGCCTATTCATAGAGTATTATCCTTCCTTTCGCCTTTGTCCTCTAAATTAACTATCGACCCAACACCCATTTGCAGGATGCTGAATGGTCACATTAATCACATGGCTCGTTGTTCTCATTCTTGGTCCCTATATTTCTAAACATCCATTATTCATCCAATGCCCTGAAACACACAGATTCCAAACGAAGCTCTAATTCATAGAGGGAAGTGGTGTTTATGTAAACTCTTTGTCTATTCAGCTCCTCTCCTTCCTAAGTTAAATCAGAATGTTAACACTTGATAAAATATTAACCTGGCCCTCCAATTGACAAAGAAAACTGGAATAAATATATCAACCTGGCCCTCCAGTTGCTCAATTTTGAGTATCGCCTCATCATGTTCATCCTCAAGTTCTGCTAACATGACCTGCATTATCTTTTTATCTTTAATGGCTACCTGCAGTCTCTTCTTAAGTTCCTTCCGTTCCCATACTAGGTTCTCTATCTCTGTCTGCATTTGCTGAAGATGCATTTCCAGCTGCACATGTATTCTACTCACGTCAGTTGAGAAAATCAAGTCATACCATAACTCCTCAACATGAAGAGTATACATTTAACACATATCAGTAACAAGATATATGTGACACTAAACCAAAAGGAAAAGCTAGATATAAGGAGAGTATGGTAAGACAGCCATTATAGGTGAATTCTTGCATCCCGTAATATCCTAATAAACTAAAAGTTTTTACTGCCAAGGTCTGAATGAAGAACCTGCCAATTTGAGTGGAACAGATTTTTATAGGAAAGAATCTAGTAGCTTTCAACTACTAACACGGCAGAGAATTTCAAAGTTAATGTGGCACTAAAGTTTTGTTCAATGGGGAATAGGACAGGAAGTGCTGTAATGATACTAAAGTACTTAAACATAACTCTCTCACTTGAGAAATCATTCCATGAAGACAGCAGGTGAAATTAGAGCTGCCTGTGAAATCTACAGAGAATATGCAGGACTACGTGCAAGCTATAAAGTAAAAGTTGGATAAGACGGAAAAGCAGAACCGATCCTCTATGGTAGAAAAGGTTATGGGTCCCCTCCACAAAAGGTCTAGCTAAAGCATCTTGTCAACATCCCTATTCCTCTTCCTTCAGATTTCTTCTGCTAACACAATTCCAGCTTGCAGATCTCTCCATTTAGAAGCTTTGATACCGAGGAAGAAAAATTAATGACAGCATTATCAAGTGGACCTTATAAATGATTTTGACATTGAAATTCAAGCATCAAATTTCAGAACGCTATTTTTAAATTATAAAAGCATCCTTTAAAAACTATGAAATTCAGAACAATTAAAAAAAAAAAAAGAAAAAAAGAACCTTCAGGTCTCCACTAGAAGCCCCCTGAGGAGAAACACTGAGGGTCTCCAATCAAAAACAATTAACAAGGGAACAAGAGTAACTGGGTATATATATATATACACACACACATCTGATCCATACGTATATTTGTTATGCGTCTTTTACTAACAAGAGGCGGACCAGAATCTGAGGAAGAATAAATACCCGAAGCAGCAGGATAAAGATAACATACAAAATGGGGGAAAAAAAACATGTTTCAGCAACATCTCAAAAACTAAAATGTTAAAAGGAAACACAAGAAATTCTTGCAAAATGTAACTGACCATCCTTTCCCTCTGTAGAGCAGTTAAACTTCGTATTGGCAGGGACAGAATAGCAATAGCCCAAATTATCAGTCTCCAGAGTAAGCTGGCATGAAAACCCATAGCAGCTCTCAGCAGCTCTGTCCAGGTTTGGATAACAATACATATCGTTCTCACACCAAAGAAGCAAGTGAATTTGAGCAGTGACAAAGGCTTGATCAGCACGATCATAACAGTGTTGACCAATTCAAGAAACAGTGCCATCTATACTTCCCAAATTAGTCAAATATACGCCATCTGCATAAACGTTCAAGTCCTCAAAATCCTAGTAGAGATGTAAATTCACAGACTGAACAAATTACAGCCTTCAATAAGAGTGCACCAGATATATTTGACAATATTTAGAACTTTCTCGCTATAAGGAAAACCAGTTTAAGGCAATAACACTGAACCACAACCTAGAAAAATATACCATAAATATTGGGAAAACCGTTTCCTCAAACTTGGGAGCAACAAAACTAGAAGGCATTTGTCCTTAGTTATAATGCAAGAGGAAATAAAACAGTTGCAGACTTGCCACTACCCAATCGGTTCAGTCATCTCTGAAAATGTCCAGTGTAGTAAAATCAGTGAAACCAAGGTTTACCAGCTAACTTGAGACCGGGTGAATCAGAAGTAATATTCAGCACTAAAAAGGCTTGGAATATATATCTGCTAAACATTTAACAAAAATACGTGAAGGAAAACATCCTGAATGGCATTCGAACGTCAACCTATTTACACCAGCACCAGCCAGCATCATCTTTCCAAGTTGAGTAAATTCAGCGCAAATTTACAAACGATATCAGATATGTTGAAGTTTGGCAAAATGCCAAAGTCCCACATTGGTTGGGAGTTAAGTTTGGGGGGGATTTTTCCCCTATAAAAGAAGGCCTAATGTTTAGGATTGAAACACACCTCTCATTTGCCTTCTCATCTGTTTAAGGCATTTGTATCTTCTCTCTTTAGTATTATTTCACTTGTATTTTTGGAGTGGAATAAAATATTTGGTTGTGTCCGAGGAGTAGGCAAAATTAGCCGAACCTCGTAAATTCTGGTGTTCCCTTTATTATTGCTTTATTATCTTATTTATTATTTGGTAGCTGTCATAATTTTTGGTATAGTAGTTGTGACTTATTCACACTATATACATTTGGCTTCCGCAACAAGATATGTCTTCGATCAAATAATGGAAGCTTCTTTGATATGAGTTATGACTAAGCTCCTTGAGACTGACAGAGAATTTCAATTTCTTAACTTTAAAGTCATCGTCATTGTTCCAGTCCACCTCTCCAACTACACTATAAGATGTAACTTTGTTTTTTCCCCTTATATTCGTCAGATGCAAGTTAGGAAGTAAATTACACTATCATTAATTATCTTAATTAGTGCAAAAATTGAAATTAATCTTAACGATACTTTTTTTAATATCAAATTTTTGGTATGATGGAGCAATGATTTACTAACACTATAAGTTGCAGGATGGGCAACTAATGAAAATTTCCTAATTAATGACATAACTGTATACATGATGAATCTAAATCTAGTACTAAGTCCCTTATATTCTGAAGAGACTCTTTTCCGAAGCCTAAAAAGGGATGAACGGTGATACTTATGATAAAAGAGAGGTCCCCAACCCAACATTAACTGTTGGCTTGACATAGGTCCGTATTCAAAATTCTCTGTTTTCAATAGCACCATGGTGACTGACTCAGTTTTAAAGATTTTTTTTTGTTTTTTGACAAAAACATTATGGGACATCCCAAATGGCTTCAAATGTATATCAGAAACAAGGTATGCTTAATCTTTTGGTATTTCAATATATTGACTTAAATTTCAGCCATATATAATGACAAACTAAGATGCCATAACTTTTATACAGGTTGGCAATTGCTATAAATAACTTGTAGGACTTAACTTATATGCACTAACAATGAAGAATTTTTACACTAACAGTGTATTGAAACATGTCGTAGCAAGTTACCTGCCAGATTATTGTTCCCACTTATTATGGACTGTTTATGGAACTTAACCTGGTGTAAAAACTTTTACATTGAAAGTGCGTAAAAGCTGGAACTCATAACTTGTCCTATTATAGGAACATTTTCCACGTATCACACCAAACTAGAAAAGCCTTAAATCCACGCTCCGCACAAAATCTTTCAAAAATAAGGGAAAAAGAGTGAATGACAATGCAGTTCTTTCTAGTTCTCAAGATAAACCGGAAAGGAAGACACACTTAAGACGGTCAAATTATCAAGCCTTCAAACCAAGAGGTCCAAGACCCTCCCACTCACCACCCGAGACCAAAAAATAGAAACACGGATAAATAAATACACACACATCACTGAATGTAGCAAGGAAATTAAGAAGCACATAATTAATTTGAAGTTTAGCAGAGTTCAAAAGTAATAAAAAAAAAAGGCAAAAGAAGAAAGCAATAAGAGAGAGAGAGTTTACTTTGTGAGTGATGGGGATTTTGGAAGCAGAATGCGGAAGCTGGAAGACGGAAGTGTCTGAGCAAAGATCTTTTTCCAGAGTGGGGTCGCAGCCAAAAATGTAAGAAGCAAGGAAGAAGTGGGGTGTCGACACGTCCATCCCGCAGAGACTGACACGTTATCTTAAAAAAAGGTCTTCAATTCTTTAATGGATAATGGAAAAGAGCGCCGCCATCTTTACAAACTGATATCACCTCCTCCAAGACTGGTCAGAGGTGTTACGTTGCACCTCAGATTTTGAATTCATGCTACTACTCACATTCTAACAACAAATTTTGCGTTAAGAAAATATATAAGATTAGAAGATTGAGAAAACAAATATAATACTATTTGATTTTAATTTTAAAATCTAATCTCCATTCTTTTCCATAGGAATTTAAACTATTTTGTTGAGCTTGACTTTATTTTGATTCAAGAGCATAAAAACTTAATTTTGAATTATATTTTTGAGCTTAAATGTATTCGATCTATTCGTCACGAGTGCCTTGACAGAGCCATGAACAATAACTATTATAGAGAAAAATAACTTTGATATGAAACGCTTCAATTCTTGTAATTTATAAGAAAATTTATAACGATTCGGTCAGGCGTTTTGTGTATTGTAGCCTCGTTCTCTTATTTATTACCTCTTTTATGTTCATTTATGATTAAGTGACTAGTCGGGATGGTTGGATTGATTTCGGGGAGGTTCTGGTGTGGATTGGGACATTTAGTCCCAAGGTTGGAAGCTTAAGTTGTAAGAGTTGAGGGAAGTTTGACTTTTGTGTAGACGACTCTGAAATGGTTTTTGATGATTCCAATAGCTTCATATTCTGATTTTGGACTTAGGCTGTTACATCTCGCGTTTTCATACGCTAGAAGTTTCGTCTTCAGTTGATCGACGTAGACTCGGAGATGAGATTATCTTGAGGTTAACGTATTTACGCTATTTATAATAAGCAATAAGTAAGTGTCATGAAGGATAAAGGGTACATGAATTAAAGAAAACAAGTTTCATTGAAAGTGACAAATTTGGGATAAAATACGGGTCGAGCGATAATACACGATAATTATGAACTAGTACCATGCAAGGTACCATATGACCACGGTAATATAATGTATAAAGTATATTAAAAATAAGTAGTATTTTAAGTAATTTGAGATAATTTTTAATTATATGGATAATTAGTTAATTATCGGCTAACGAAACATTATCTAGTTAATTATTAAAAAAATAAGATAAGATTAAACCCCCAAAAAAGGTAACGTGGCAGAAGGCAGCAAATTAAGGAATGACTTAATTTGGACAATTAGAATATCCAAGTAAGCTTTAATATCACATCTTGTCCCTTCCATTTGAACAAAAAAGAAGCCAAAAACGTTAAACACTCTTAAGCAAGAGACGTGTTCCATTCTTCCTAATTCACCAAAATAATTCCACCAAAATACTTCAAAAAAACAGAACTTCATTTCGTCCAAAATAATTCCACCAAAATACTTCAAAGAAACAGAACTTCATTTGGTTCAAAATACTTCATAAGAGCTTCATTTTGTTCAAAATACCTCAAGTACCAGAAGCGTAATCCCATCAAAATTTTGCGATTACAAAAGAGTACGGTACAATCTTCGCCAAGAATATTATACGGAGTTTTCCTACTCCAGGTATTGTTACATCCCGTAATATTAACAACCTTGATACTGTTAGATACATTTTGATATGGTATTTATTTTGAGTGGAACATTTCTTGTAGAAAAAAAAAATTTGAAAAAAATATAATTTTATATAGTTATTAATATTACTACTTTTGAATATATTTTAAATTATACATATAATATGAGGAAGTTTATGATATTTTCTTTAGGGAAATTTACATGAAAATACACTTGGAGAAAGTACTTTTCACCCGCCTAACCCACAAATACAGTTTTCATCCAGTAGCCCACAAACATTATCAATTTTATGAAAACAAGTCGCAAATTTCGTCGAACTTCGTCAACTACACCCATAATCACGCCTAAATCAGATTCTGCTTTTTTCTTTCATTCTTATCTTTTCCTTTTTTCCATTTTCATTCTTATTTATTTTTTACTTCCCTCTTTATAGAATTTCCTAAAATTCACAATATTAGGAAGTTGAAGTAAAAAATATATTCATCCTTAAAGTCTATATTTTTTTTTTTTGCAAAATTCAAAGTTTTGTAAGGGAAATTCTTATTTCACTGGAAAAAATAAAAATTTACATTATTAAACACCTTATATACATTGTTATATATAGTCATACGTTAATTATACACAAATATATCTATGTTGTATAATATGTATAATATGTATAATCTTGTATACTTGTGTATAATCATGTATAATTCTGTATAATTATGAGAATACACATAAGTATACACGGTTATACATGATTATACAAAGTATATATAGTTATATACAACATATACATCATTCTTCCTCCCTTCGGAAGTCATTAAAAATGAGGAGAAGAAGAAGAAGAAGAAGAAGAAGAAGAAGAAGAAGAAGAAGAAGAAGAAGAAGAAGAAGAAGAAGAAGAAGGAAAATTACCAAAAAAAGGAGATTTCATAACTTAGAATACAAGACAAGAATCAAAAGAAATAATCACTCAATATTTTTTTTTTCTTCGAACGGGAATAAAAGGATCCTCTAGTGTCAAAGTTGGAATCGGCTTTGGCGAGCATTGAATCGAAAAGAAAAAGACTACAAAAGATAGATCTGGTGTGGATTGTTCAACATTATTATTTTGTGGAAGAGGAAGATACAGATGAAACGGAGCAAGAAAATCTAAAGAAGAACTCGAAGAAAGAGGGGTGAGGAGAAAATCTGAAAGAGAAAACTAATTTGGGAATGGAAAAAATTCCTCTGCATCTAGAAAAAGAGTGGGGACAGTAATGTGGCTAATCGATGAAAATAATTTTTCAACTTATGTATAAACTGGGCCATACCGGGTAAGAAGAGAAAATATAGGCCCAATTTTGTTAGAATGTTGGGCCAACTGACAATAAGAGTAATTTTGTCTTTTCTTTATTGTAAAGATAGTAATTATTTTCTCACACAAAAATAAGGTTTTTTTTTTACCATTTTAAGAATTAAGCATACGGGAATTTTTACTCTTTATATGAGATTGGAAAAATTATAAGTTGATGAAATATATGTATTTTTACATGGATATTTTAATAAAATAATAGTATATGTATTTATTTTATATGGTACCACATGATCATGATAGCAGGTAAAGTATATTAAAAATGAGTAGTATGTTAAGTAATTTGAGATAATTCTTAATTACGTGGATTATTGGTTAATTATTGAATAATGGGATATTACCTAACTAATTAAAGATAACTAGATAAAGATTAAAACACCCCCACAAGGGAATTACGTGGCAACAATATATGTTATAAGTGATGACTCTTAATGTTTTTTTCTTAATAGTCGACCTCATCTTTCATTGTCATTTATCCCCTTAAAAGAAAAATTCACGCCTTTCTGGCAATCTCAGTACTTTAGCTGCTTGAGGGTCCATTTTCAACTCCATAATTGTCTTCATTGAATCAGCGGAACACATAGGAGATCCAACAGTATAGCCATGGAAACTAGTGAAGTGACTAATTCAATTAGGGATAATTCTAATAAAGTACTTCCACCCCTTATCAAATTCATTTCAGATGAAATGGATGATTTTGATATCATAGTAGATAATGATCATATTAATAATCATATTGATCAAACTTGATCTAATTTTATGAACTCAAAAAGGCTGAGAATGAGAGGAATGAACTTCTGGGCTAGTTCTACAACATCTGGAAATGTATGGTATCCTTCTTACAAGAGCTCTTCATGTCACTTCTCCTCTAGTAGTTAAAATAGAAGCACTGCAGTTGATACATGAATTATGTGGAAAAGTTGCTGGCACATGTGAGAATGAGAAGGTATTATATTTTCCATATGAAGTATTTAGATGTGTGGATGTTGTCCAAGATTTTCTATTCTCGGCTCTGGATGTGGCGTCAGATAGAGAACCGAAATTGAGATGTCTTGTTGCATTAGTCCTTCAGATGCTTCTATAAAAGCAAAATTTATCATCCTACACACTATAATTACTACTTAGGTGGTTCTTGAAAAACTTGGTGATCCAGATGAAGATATAAGAAGTGTACTTGTCGGGTATGTTAAGGCTAAGCCTTTATTTTATTTTGGCATGATCTCATAATTACACGCGTTTGATAACGAAGCATAAAAAAAAATCTATATCCCATCGAGCCTACTATATACAGTATTATAGTATTTTTATTACCATTGAGTTATAATCGACGGGCAGGCCCCTATTGGGCAACCTCTGATTAGATGGTAAGTTATATACCGAACCTACTGTGGCTGAGCGCCTATGAGCGAGCCCAGTTGGTCGAGATACAGAGCCTAGTATAGCCGAGCGCCTATGAGCGAGCCTACTACGGCAGAGCAGTTATATAGCTATATATATATTTACCGAGCCTTATAGGGTCGGACAACTATTTTACTTATTATATTGAGAGAATTGAGTCAGTATCAGCAAGTAAGCATACCATCAGATTATCTTTGACTTCCAGCTACCTGCAGTTATTATATTATCAGTTCAGTTTTAGCTTTCAATATATTGCCTTACATATTCGGTACATTATTCGTACTGACGTTCTTTTGTTGGGGACGCTACATTCATGCCTGCAGGTATAGATAATCAATTTGACGAGCCCTCACAGTAGACGAGATTGGCATTCGGCGAAGCATCGGTAAGACTCCACCTCATTCGGAGTGCAGCCGAGTCTATGAGTCATCGTGTCAGAGTTTTGCTACAGACTTATGGGCAGGCCGGTACCCTGTCCCATTTGATGTCAAATAATTTTAGAGACTTTGTAGACAGAGGTTCATTTTGTACAGTATGTCAGAGGCCTTGACGACCCATATGTATTCATGTTTTACGAAAAATGATTCATTAATACAACGTTTTCCCACTTATAGTTATACATTACGAGTTGTGGCTATGTTGACCAATGATAGTTATAAAAAAGAATGAATGAATTACAGAGTAGTTCGCTTGGGCCACTACAGCACCGGGTGCCAGCCACGCCTCCCCAGGTTTAGGGCGTGACAGGTATGTTAAGGCCATCCCTTCTTTCTTTTTGGCATGATCCAAGTTATACAGAAGAAACGAGCAAACGCGCGATTTTCATAAATGACTCTATTCATAGAAATACTAGGGATCTCTGTGTTCTTGATTCTCTA